GGGAATAAAACGTTACTCGTTTTGCAGTTTTGCTTTCCTTAAGATGTCTCCTATATATTTCTCCTTAAGGCACTTTCCAAACTGAGAAAAAAAAGATCTAGTAATTGCTTTAGCAGTTTGAGTGAAAATAAATTAGGTCAGCTGAGGAAAAAAAAAGTCAGGGGATTTATTTAAAAATTCAAGTTCAGTGAGTTCCAGTGTGTTCCCCATAGGCCAAGGTTGCTTTTTCATGCCTCCATCAAGGCACATACAAGAATCAACCAGTGAATGCATAAATAAGCAGAACAACAAATGGATGTTTTTCTTTCTCCCTTCCCCTCTCTGAAATCAATTTTTTAAAGATTTTTTTAAACATTTCGAGCTCCCAGATGTGCCTTCCTTAGAGCACACCCACTCAAATCCCCTTTTGCAGTGGCAGCTCGTCCAGTTCTTACCCCCTGAACCTGTCTCCAAGGCCCCCTTTTCTCTGACTTTCCAGTGAGCTAACAGTAGACCTACCTCGGCAGACTTCTTTCCCATTGCATTCTTGAGATCCAAAGCAACTTGCCTTGGCTCTCCTGTTGCTTTTTTCCATTTCAGGCCCTTCCTTGTTTAACTGTCCTCACTTATCTCTAAAAGGCAAGTGAATGAATGAGTTAATTAATTAAGTTCAAGATCCTTATTTTTAAGGCCCAGAAAAAAAACATAAGCTGGACATCAATTTTTAAAACACTAAAATGCTGAGATGATGATAGAAAGTGGATGAATGTAAACTGGAATTCCTTCAACTAACTTTCATTACTGTACTTAAGGGTATAGTCTAGTCCTCAATCAACTCAACTTTTTAAAAAAAATTTATTGATTGATTTTAGAGAGAGAATGAAACATTAATTAGTTGTTCCACTTAGCTATACATTCATTGGTCGATTCTTGTATGGTTCCTGACCAGGGATCAAACCCACAACCTTGGAGTATCAAGAGGTTGCTCTAACCAACTACCCGACCAGGGCTGAACTCAATTTTTAGACTGATTATTTTTAAGTCCTTTCAAAGAGCCCATTGGTTTAGAAAATTGCCCTATTTGATTGGCCATAATGTATATACTGAAATAATATTTTAGGATTGATTGATTGATTGATTGATTTTTAGAGAGGAAGGAAGGGAAGGAGAAAGAGAGGGAGAGAAACATGTTTGAGAGAAACACCAATCACTTGCCTCTTACACACCCCCAGCTGGGGACCTGGCCCCACAACCCAGTCATGTGCCCAACTAGGAATCAAACCTGCAATGTTCCAATTCACAGGTCAACACTCAGTCCACTGAGCCACACCAACCAGAGCTTAAATAATTTTTTTAAATGAGTAAGTTTTAATCACACTGATTAAAGTACCCTGAACAAAATTCAGCAGCACACTCTAGTCAGAGGCAAAAATGACTAGGCTTGTACTGTTCCAAGCTAGAAGGAACCCTGGAGATACTTGAGTATAATATCCACTCCCTTCTCCCCATTTTACCAAGGTCAACAAAAAAAACTTTCCCAGCTCTCCACTACAGCCCAATCTCGTGCTTGAGTCCTGCATCCTAATTACTGTGAGGTCTGTGTTGAGGTAGAGGTAGGCCTCCAGGTGCTACTGGCTGTTGGGATGGGAAGCAGTGCCTTCAAAGGCAGGAATGGCTGAACAGCAGCAACACTTAAGAGCTTGCTGAGGTTGAAATTCACTACAAGGATTTCATATAGAGGCCTTCGTTTATTTCTGTTTAACAAACAAAAACTTTACTGCAAAATATCCGAATTTTAAGTTTACTCATAAATGAACATTTTTCATTGAATCATTTACCTCAAGAACTAAACTGGCTTGATTTATTAGCCAATTTTATAGAAAACAAACTAACTGCATAAGATGAAAATGGAGCTGAGAGATGGAAACATAAAAAAGGAAACCGTAAGTAAACCTAATCTGTTTCCACCCAAACTAGCATCTCCCATAAAAGTGGTTTTAAAGTTTAGCAGTGAGAAGTAAACTTATGAGAAATGAAATTATAAACAGTTAATCAAATACTTCAGCTTGCAAATATATCATTTAAACTAACTGAACCAAATATAGCATTTCTACTAATACTTAATGAACCCATTTGTTTCTTTGAATTGGAGCTTGTTTTGAATAACATTTAAAGATAAATGACCTTTAAGCTCAAGATTTTCAAAGAATAAGAGGAAAAGGCAAACAATAGCACATATCTTTCAACCAGTATTTATTGTTTTTGCTTTAACAATCTCTACTGCATAGTTGGCTGTATTGAAAACAACTAAAGGACTAAAAAGTTTAGCTTCTACTTTTGAGGGAGTCATTTAACAACCTATTTTGCCTTTTATGAAAGACTAATTAAATAATATTTTCTTTTAAGATGTTTTATGATGTTCAGCTGAAAGCTTTCTTATTTAAAAAATATGAAGACCCAAAAAAATGAATGATTTTTCTTAGCGTATTTGGGGATAATGTCATTTCTTTTATGTACATTTAGCTCACACTGTATAAAGCCTTTAAAATTAAAATCATTCGAGATTAGAAATTCATCAGCCCAGCATTTATAAGAAGAGGAGAGGATGAACTGGTTTGATCTTAATGGGTAGGGTTCTTTATTGAGTGTCAGAAGTATCTATTAAGTATTTAAAATTTGGGGTATTCATTGTATTTTTGTTTTTAAAGTAGTAGGTATGATTTTAACAGTTTCAAGACCCAGGGGCAGTATGAAATTAATCAACCCTTTATTTTACCCCTTGATTAACAATTTCTTTGAAGAGAGATTAATGAAATCTACAAAAGCCCCCTTCTCATCACAAGTGAATTAACTTTAAGTATAATATGAATGTAAGTGAGTTTGGATGTGCAACATCTTGACTTCCTGAACTGCTTTAAAAATTGCAGTGAGCAGTCTGGGGTTCCTAACGTGGGTGCCAGGAAAGCAGATTCCTGCAGACATATTTGGAGTACTGTATCATGATGCTATTCACCTCATTTTCACAGTAGTTCATTCTTATCTTTAAAACACTGAGAATTTTTACATGAAGGAAGTTTTTCTTCCACAGATAAATGAAGTAATGTGATTAATTAAAAGATGCAGATAGGCTGCTTGATTTCAAAGATAACATCCCTTTTAGGGCAATCAGTAATTGCAACTGCCCTAAAATGAAATAGCCTCTTCCCAGAAGTTATGAAAACCTGCAGTAACTCAGGGTATTTGAACAGCAGATGGGTAATCTTTTATCCAGGAAGCTGTAGAAGGAATAGTATATGCACAAACCTTTAACCTAAGATCCCTCAACAGTCATTTGGCCCTGGGACTGAGCCCAAGATACCTTGTACATACACCACTAACTTCTTTGAAGAGTTCTATCTTAATATGTGTTTCTTTAGCATTTCTACATTTGTTGATTTTTTAAAAAATGTTATTTATTTACTTTTAAAGAGAGGGGAAGGGAGGGAGAAACAGAGGGAGAGAAACATCAGTGTGTGAGAGATACATTGATCAGTTGCCTCTTGCCCAGCACCAAATGAAAACCTGGGCTACAACCCAGGCATGTGCACTGACTGGGAATCAAACTGGTGACCTTTTGGTTCGCAGGCCAACATTCAATCCAGTGAATCAATCCTCTCTCTTTCTAAAATGAATAAATAAATTTTAAAAAAGATGCTCTCAAGTAATTCTGACAGCTACTTATTGGATTTACTGACTACCTAAACTCTCAATTTTACTAAATTATAATATGAAATAATTTTTTTTATTAAAAATCAACCATCCTAGCTGCTGTTGCTCAGTGGATTGAGTGCTGGTCTGTGAACAGAAAGGTCGCTGGTTTGATTCCCAGTCAGGGCACATGCCCAGGTTGCAGGCCAGGTCCCCAGTAGGGGGCACTCGAGAAGCAACTACACATTGACGTTTCTGTCCCTCACTTTCTCCCTCCCTTTTCCTCTCTCGAAAAGTAAGTAAATAAAATCTTTTTTTAAAAAAAAGAGAACAAAGTAGAGAGAGAAACATCAATTTGTTGTTCAATTTATTTATGCATTCATCGGTTGATTCTTGTATGTGCCCTGACCAGAGATAGAACCTCAGGGACAACGTGCTAACCAGATGAGCTACCCAGCCAGGGCTGAGAGCATCTTTTTTTAAATTACTTGTCTCCAAATCCCACTTCAGACCTTTTGAATCAGAATCTCCTGGAAGTGAGGCCTGAAAATCTTTGTTTAAAAGATTTCCCAAGAAGACATATTGGGATTTTTTTTTTTTTTTTAGTACAAAACTAAACTAATTGCTGTGAGGGGGGGATATAAGGAGACTAAATGGTAATAGAAAAAATATCATGAAAATTAAATTTAAAAAAAACTAAGTTACTAAATTATAGATCTTAGGGCTGCACACTCAGGAGGTATAAATCATAAAGAAATAGAAAGCAGTGGTTACTTTTGGAGGGAGGGACAGGACGCTTGAAGGCACATTAGGGATGGTTGGCAAAGCCAGCCTAGGGTAGTTACAAGGGTGTTTCTTCTTTCTTTCTTTCTTACTTTTTTTCTTTTATGAAAAAACTTCAATCTCCTAACAAATATACAATGAAATAAGAGACTCTTCTCACTCCAGGAACCTTCTGTCCCAGTTCCTCTACCCAACGGCAATAGCTGTTAATGGTTTATTGTGTATCTTTTCAGAAAGGAGACATTTTCTATCCACACACAAACATAAATGGATATGTGATCCCCTACCTTTTTCACTCAGTGACAGCCGTGTGGTGTTTCTCTTTAAAATAGTTCACTAAACTGTTAATTTAAAAATATTCCTAGGGGATTCTGCTGCAAACTCAAATTTAGGACCCCCAAGATTTGATGACATCTGAATGTTTTCTTTCTGTCCTTAATATCCTATTTTCTATAGGTTTTTACTTCAGGAAGATTAAATTCAGCTGCTTTTGTCTTTCCTGGGTGAGAGGTAGGCAGGTGGAAGGGATACTATTTAGTTAGTTTTTTTTTTTTAATATAGAACACTTCACAGATTTGTGTGTCATCCTTGCACAGGGCCCATGCTGATCTTCTCTGTGCTATTCCAGCTCTAGCAGATGTGCTGCCAAAGCAGGGACTGGTCTTTTTTGAACAACTATCTATATAATTTTATAAGCTCTATCATCTTCTACTATCTTCTACATTTACTAAATGAAATTGTATACAAGCATAATTATGTTCTTTAAAAAACCTCATAATTGCATTCTGTGTTGGGAAAATAAAAATAGTGCTTCTTTTGTACTAAAACAGTCATTGTTTTCTTGAAATATGTTTTCCAATAGCTTTTTTGTTTTGTTTTTTTACATAAATTAATTAATGCATGTGTATTGTTTTTTTCAAGTATTTTAGATATTTTAAAATATTGTAGAGGCATCCTTCATTCTGTACTTCTTAGTGGCATAGGATACACAAAAGGAACTATTTTTTAAAATATAGCAACAGACAGTAATTACTGTAATAGGGTATTACTATGTAATCAGAGGTAAGGGGAAATAAGGATTTATTACCAATAGGTATAAAGTTACAGTTTTGCAGATGAAAATGTTCTATGGATTAATAGCAATAATGGTTGCACAATAATATGATTGTACCTAATGCCACTAAACTGCATACCTAAAAATGGTTAAAATGGTAAATTTTAATATATTTTACCTCAATTAAAAATAATAACCATACCTACAGCAAAGCATTACAGCTGTGTCACCACCTAATCCAGATTACCAGAGGGACCTAATTTGAAATTCTCATTAATTATTATATACTATTCTCCTTTTTTTTTCATTAAACATAAAATGACTGGATTACTCAATGTAGGAAACTCAGTATCTAACAAATGTCCTCACTAAATTTTGGTGAATGAAAGAAAGAAACAGTCAAATACTATACATTGTTAAGATCACTGGTAAAAATTAATCTTCTCTCTTGCTCCTAGACTCAGGCTTCTGAGTTTCTTTGGGTATGCCACTTTACCTGTGAAAGCCTCACTTCTCTATAAGATAAATATAGTAGCTAAGAATATCATCTGTAACATCCCTTGCACCTCTAACAATCTTATTCTTGAAGCTAAGCTATCTTACTCCAATCCATTCTTTGGAAAACTAAGCACATAAAACAGTATGATGCTCTCCTTTATTTTAATGGACCAACTTGATTTGCAAAAGAGAAAACAAATGTGTATATAGATGCATAAGATACTCTAAAAATAACTCAAAATTGACATTTATTAACTTTAGAACTATAGAAAAAGTCTCTGTTTTAAAGCTGTGCATGCATCTTTCTCCTATATATACAGCTACAGGACTTTTGCTGTTTACTTCCTTATGCCTTCAGCAACAATCATAAAATTCTAACAACAGTATTTAATTGCCTGCTATTACCAGGCACTATTCCAAGAACTAGAGAAACAGTAGTGAACTAAATGAAGTCCTTAACCCTCCTCTCATGGAACTTACATTCTAATGGGGGGAAACAGACAATACACAAATATATATCAGTTGGTAATAAGTACTAAAAGAAAAGGAAAGGGGAAGAAAGAGAGAGAAAATGAAAGAAAAAAGAGAGGAAGAAAAGTAAAGAAAGGAGAAAGGGAGGGAGGAAAGCTTAGAGGGAATTGCCTTTTCAGGTAGAATGCTCAGAGAAAATTTCTCTGGTCCGTAAACAGGTGAGCAGAAACTTTAAGAAAAGGTCACCCTATGGTTATCTAGGGGAAGAGTGTTCTCATGTGCCAGCATAGAAAGGGAGAATGCCATTAAACAGTAGCTTGCTCCACAAGTTGGAGGCCAGGGGGCCAGTTGTGGCTAAAGTGAAGTAATCAAGAGAATGGTGGGAAATGATACCTGAGAAAGAGCTACAAGCTAGGTCATGTAGCTACCTGAGTAAGTAAGCAAGAGAATGGAAGTATATGACATTGGAGTGCTAAGGGCCCTGTAGAATTTTGTAGGCCCTGGTAAGGACTTAGGCTTTTATTCCTAAAGTGAGAGGAGAAATTGAGAATTTTGAACAATGATGTGAGATCCAATTTAGATGTTAAAAAAGATCGTTGTACCTGCTAAGTGGAAACCAGACTACAGGAAGGTAATAGCTTATGCTACTGATTGGAAGTACGTTGTGGATTGCCAGTGTCAGTGTAAAGAATTTAGAGAGAGAGAGTATTAATGTATTTGTTAAGAAAATAAATTTTAAAGTTAACCACTCTCAGTATCTAATCGTTTATTTAATAGTTGTTTGGCTTTAGAGCAAGCCATAACCTTTCAAAGACTTTTCTTTTCCCTTTAGGCTTTGTCCATAATAACTCTAAATTAATTCCTTAGCTGCTTTTTTTTCTTTTCAGAAATCAGAATAACCATATCATCTATTATTAGATAAATTGATTCTAACCTACACTGCCATCCCTTGTAAAATATACTAAATGCTTACTGTGGAGATAAAGACCAACCAAATGAGAAAAAGCAAAACTTATTTATTCTGAGCTACCAAAATAAGGGAGTCAGTCACCTTCACTTGCATTCTGGCAGACACTCAAAGGCAGGCAGAAGAGTAGGGAAGCTTTATAGTGGAAGGAAAGGGGAACCTGCTGGCATGGGGAAGCTGTAGGCAGGCTAACTATAGGAGTGGGGCATCCTATGTGATTGGTTAGGGGTGCATACTTTGCTTTCTCCTGTAGGTCCTAAGTTGAAAGTGGGTATAAAAATTAGGAAAGCTGTCAGTTATTAATCAAGTCCTTGTCATTTGGGGCCAAATTTAACAAAAGTTACTGTTTAACTTCCTGGTCACTAGAGTAGCAATCCGATTTCCTACAAGTCTGACTTACAGCAGGCTAGCTTTCTGAGCTGTTTGTTGTAGATAAGGGGTTGGTTCCTGGACAAGTTGCTACAGGTTGTGGGTAAAAGTTCTATTTTTTTTTTTCAAAATTCTATTTTTATATATGGTCTGACCATTGTCCCTTAGTATGTTCAGTCTCTCACTAGTTTGCATCACTCACTGTTATTTTGAGTTATTTACAATAGGCTAAAAGGTCAATGTCTTTGTGAAGTACTTAATTTAGCATGATTTCCCACCAGAAGAATTTAGCAAGCTGAATATTTTATTTTTTTCTACCACTAACATTATTTCTTTTCACTTTCAGTGGCTGCCAATGACAAAGGAACTGAGCTTCCAAAAATTTATTGAACAAGCTGACTTACTAGAAGAACTTAAATATGACTTCAATGAAAAAGCTGAGTTGAGACACCTAGAGACACAAAGGCCTTTTGTCTATAATTATTATAAAAATGTCCCTGAGAGGAATTGCAAGCGCTACCAGGTCCTTGGCCATTTGCTTGAAAAATACATTTATGAGCTTTTGGAGAAAGTGTGCAAATTACAAAAAGTATACATCCCACCAGAAGCTGATAAGGAACCAAGAAGCTTCTTTTTTATGAATGAGACAGCACTAACAAATCATCATTCTGTTCTTCTTGTCCTTCTTCAAGACCATGGGGTCTTTCGAGCTGGTCAGTGGAGTCAGCGGGCAATAATACATCATGGGCTGCAACATGGAAGCCAGATACCATGCATTCAAATGGCATTGCAGGCACATTATGATGTAATTGTGCTAAACCCCAATGACAATTTTGTGGACTTAAAGATGGAAAAAGAATGGAAAGGTCTTTTAACACAAAATATTGAGTCCTCTTCCCTAAAAATGGTTCAAACTGAGAGCTTTTTATCTCTCCAGTATATTCCAAAAAGATGCAGCAACACTCCTGAAGAACACATGGCTTACATTTGGGATTACTTCATTTCAAAGACTGAAGGCAAGGATGTTGCCTTCATTGTACATGGTTATGGAGGCTTGGTTTTTATGGACTTGCTTGTTCATAGGAAGTGGGAAGTGATGAGCAAAGTATATGCTGTTGCACTTATTGACTCTCAACATCATGTAGGACATCAGCTGGGAAGTGATGTACAGTTGTTAGCATGGATAAAGCACCACTGCCGTGAATGGGTGACAAGCCCTAAACCTCTGGATAAACCTGCGACTACTGTTTTGAAAAAAGAGTTTCCTATGGTTTCTGCTGGTACGGAAAAACATGACTTGGCCCTTTCCTCTAGCCTTCAGTCAATTTTTAAATACTTTAAAAGAGCTCTGAAAGCCAAAACGACTATTAATTTCTCTCCTTTGCCAAAAGTAACTAGAAGCTCCACAAAAATAAAGCAAAGTGCTTAAGTTACTTTTTTGTCATGTAAGATTTTTTTTTTCATTCCACTGAAACTTTTCTAAGGTAGATACTAGAAGAAAAAACTTCTAGCTCATACACAGTATTGTATTCTGGATTAAGATTTGATTTGTTAATTTTTCTAAAGTGAATACGTTCCATTTTGTAGCCTATTGATGAACCAGAAAGTCAGCCCATACCATCGTTAAATTTTATAGTATTAGTCAACTTAGAGGATGTTTCTTTTGAAAAGTGACCTTTCTTATGGTTTAATAGAATGACGCCATAACTTTAGCCAATAGAAATTAAATATTAAGTCAATTTCTGATTCTATGTGATTAATGCCATATTAAAATTACAAGTGAACATAAAAATTAAATATCATAAGCAAATTCCTTTTCTGTGTGTTTTTATTTTTATTTATTTATTTTAGAGAAAGGGAAGGGGAGGGAGAAAGAGAAGGACAAAAACATCCATGTGACAGATTGCCTCTCATAGGCACCACGACCAGGGACCAAACCCACAAACTAGGCACGTGCCCTGACCAGAAATCGAACCACCAACCTTTCACTTTGTGCTACAATGCCCAACCAACTGAGCCACACTGGTCAGGGCCCATTCTTTGTATGTCTGTGTTCTTTTGTTTAAAATTTTTGGTCATATGTGTGTCTACTCATACCTTCAGCTAATATTTGAATGTCTACTATGTGCCAGTCAATACTAGGTTTTGGGGACACAGACAAACAAGGCCAACATTGCCTTTATCCTTATGGAGTTTACAATGAACAACAAATTGCAACTGTGAAGAGTGTTAAAAAATAAAGGATGCCATGGAACATCTAACATGACCCTAACAAGCCTTGGCATTAGATGAATAGTTCCTGGAGAAACTGATGCTTGGTTTGAAGAACAGTAGTAGTTATCTGGGGAAATAATCATAGGAAAGGAACAGTAGGCAGGAGGAAGCAGTCCAGTTCAGCTAAAGCTAAAAAAATTGTGAGGCAGTTGTGCCAAGAAAACATTATGCTTTGACATTTATTACCAACACTAAGGAAGACTACATTCAAGAGGCATTACTGCAATGGGGGTTTTGCAGTGGAGCATAGAGATTGAGATAAACTCTAAAACAGGAGGATGAGTGGGGGGGATTTGTAGCCAATGAGCAGGGTAAGGGTCGCTGAAAGGAAAATTACTGAATGATAACATCAGGGGGTAAGAGAGATTCTTGCTGAAGAAAAGCCAGGGTGATAAGATACTAAGAGTGGAGGATGAAGTATTTTACCACATATAAAGGATAATCCAATATGAAGGATGGGAGATTTTCACTGAACTGGCTCAGCAGAATTCTTGCTAAAACTGAACTAAACCAACAAAGGACAGAGTCGAACACTAGAGCATAGTTGAGAGGACAGCTCACAGGAGCCAGACTCAGATTTAGTTAAGGAGAGGTTCTTTATTATAGCTGGAAAATTAAGTTAGAGAAAAAAGCAGAGGCAGCTTCTGCAAGGCTGCACTGTCCATCATTAAGATTTTCAATTTTATGCTAATGACAATGAAAGCCATTGGATGGTTTTAGACAGAAGACTATTATCACATTTACATTTTATAAAGAATATCCTGACCTGGCTGGTGTGGCTCAATTGGTTGGAGCATTGTCCTGTGAACTGAAAGGTTGAGAGTTCCATTCCTGGTCAGGGTACAGGCCTAGGTTGTAGGTTTAGTCCCCAGTTGGGGCACGTACGAGAGGCAACTGATCAATGTTTCTCTCTCACATAGATGTTTCTCTCCCTCTCTCTCTACAAATAAGTATGCCCTCAGGTGAAAATAAATATGTATGTATACACATATACATACATATATGTGTATGTGTGTGTGTGTATACCTTTCATTTTGCTGGCCAGTGATCAACCTATAGAGCCACATCAGCCACGGCCCAAAGAGGAATTTATAATCAGGTCACCCTGTGAGATTACTTTCCATCATTGCACTTGTGAATTTTATTACAGAACCTTCTTTTCATCCACAACAGCCATTAGTAAGTACAAGGATGTATCTCATTGTAGTTTTGATTTGCACTTCCGTTAATGATTACTGATGTTAAACATCTTTCCAGGTGCTTATTGGCCATTTCAGTATGTTCTTTAGAGGAATGTCTATTTAAGTTCTTGAGCACCAGCCTGTGAACAAAGGGTTGCCAGTTCGATTCCCAGTCAGGGCACATGCCTGTGTTGTGGGCCAGGTCCCCATTAGAGGCCACTCAGAGGCAACCACACAGTGATGTTTCTCTACTCTTTCTCCCTCCCTTTCCCTCTCTAAAAATAAATAAATAAAATCTCTAAAAGTTCTTTGCCCACTTTCGAATCGGGTTGTTTAATTCTCTTTTGTTATGGAGTTGTAGTAGTTCTTTGCATATTCTATATAGTAATCCCTTATCAGATGTGTGATTTGTAGTTGTCTTTTTAAATGTTTTTAATTTTTTTCATTTTAATTGTCGTTCAAGTATGTAGTTGTCTTTTTACTTTCTTAATAGTGTCCTTTGATGTACACAAGGCTTTAATTTTGGTGAAGCACAAAACATCTATTTCTTTTCTTTTTCTTTCGTGGCCTGTGCTTTTGAGATCATATCCAAGAAATCATTGTCAAATCCAATGTCATCCTTCTCAGAGTTTTATAGTTTTCAGTCTTATGCTGAAGTCTTTGATTCATTTTGAGTTAATTTTTGTATATGGTTTTAGGGTAAGGGTCTACCTTTGTTTACCACCATTTGTTGAAAAGGCTGTCCTTTCCCCAGTAAATGATGGTGTGCCTTATGTTTTCATAATGACAACTAAATTAAAACACTTTAAAATGTTGGGCTGGGTCAGGGGGGGAATGTGCTAGCTAAACAAAACACATGCAGACTCGATTTTGACCCAAAGGCTACTAATTCACAGCATGTGCCTTAACTTCATTTTCACATTAGATCTTCAAATGAGGTAAGGGCAAGAAGAGATATTTAGTGTTGCCTATCACAGTTCAAGCATTCTACCAGGTACTGTCGATAAACTAGTCGAAAAGATTAGCAAAGTCCTAGCATTTAGGATTTCAAAGCTGAGTGAAATTTGTGAAAACAACGCCTTATTTTAGGATTACATAAGTACATGCTTATAAAGGGACCGTGCAGAAGTAGAATAAGAGAAGAAAACTTGAAAGAGTTTTAAATAATAGAGGATCAACAAAAAGAAAAAGAAAGAAAAATGGGAGAACAGAACAACAAAAAAACCCCAGCTACTTGGCACGTCTAGTTTAAGAGAGTTCCTCGCAGAGGAGCGTGGGCAAGTAACCACCCTCCTATCCCAAAGCGCTGCTTTCCAGACCGGAGTGTATGCCCCTGCGTCGTGACGTCATAAGACCGCGCTGACCGGAGAGGTAGGGATTTCCGGCTGGGGGTCACGGTTCTTGGTTCGGTTAAGGTTTCTGCAAGAACTGATACTCATGCTGTGGTTCAGGTGTGGAGGTGGTCTCTGAGAGCCGCACTTCACCGCAGAGTCCTACGTCTTCTCCGGCTGGAGCTACTGTCTCTGCAATCCTGGTATGGGCGTTTGTTGTCATCTCCCAGTGTGTGTGTTGAAGTGCAAAGGCGCGGGAGACATTCTAAGATAAGATTTAGTTGTAGCATGTGCACTCAGAAGACCCGCAGTTAATAGGAAGCCCATACTGATGCATAACATACTGCTATTGGTCGATATATATACTATAAAATTTGAATTTTTGGAAACTTTAGCTGTGCTGTCGACTTTGGAAAAAGGATCCCAGTTGTACCTTGTTGGGTTGACATTGTACAGAAATTAACAGCCATATTGATCCAAGAACGTCCTAATTTTTTCCATTTGTGTATGGGTAATGCACTTTATTAAACATTTAAGGCCTTATCTATCTATATGAATTTCATTACAGAAATAAGTAAAGTACTCTCTAATGAAAAATGGAAGCCCAATGATTTCAGAAACTATGAATAGTGCAATACCCGGAACAAGAGCAGTGTTTCCCAAAATGATATCCTTGATCACTTTCTTGTATTTGGGTTTCCATTTCTATGGTATACTAAAATATTTACCAGTTACAGAGACAAAACTCAAAAAACATTTGTTCTGAATCACAGTTTCTGGCATTGGGGCTGACAACTCCAAGTTAAATATTCAGGGGAGTCTAAAGTAAGTTGTTTTTTTTTTTCTTTAAAATGTTTTTATTTGAAAAATACTTGAGCATTTAATATCTTTTTTTATTTTTTAAGATTTTATTTATTTACTGTTAGAGAGAGAGGAAGGGAGGGAGAGAGAGAGAGAGAAACATCAATGTGTGGTTGCCTTTCACACGCCCCCACCTAAGGACCTGGCCAGCAACCCAGGAATGTGCCCTGACTGGGAATGGAACCAGTGACCCTTTGGTTCACAGGCAGGCACTCAGTCCACTGAGCTGCACCAGCCAGGGCTTGAGCATTTAATATCTTGCTCCCTGCATATGTATGTGTGGTCAGTTTGGCTCAAATAAACCCCTACAAAAATTTTCTAAAAAAAAAATACTTGAGTGATTTTTGAGAGCCATATAGTGTCACGCATTGAGTTCAAAGTTAATGTAAACACAGCCTTTGTCCTGATAGTTTACCATCTAGTGTGACAAGTAAAGAAGCAATTACAATGTAGTGTTACAAGTATGTACTATGATAGAAAAATACAGGGTGCTATAGCAACTAATAGGAATAATTGAACTAAAGTTTGAGGTGAATTGCTAGAGAGATGTAGCTGAAGAGGTGAGCAAAGGATGATATTATGAAAAACTTTGTACTTGTTAAAATAAATTTTGACTTTAATATGGCAGCTGTAGGCTTAGAAATACATGTATTACTTCATTGATCAGATTTGCACTTGCTCCAAATGGCTTAAAGATGAAGCAGAGCAAATCTGGAGGCTAGGAGATACAATTAAGAAAATGGGGTTGGGTCTTGGCTGCACTGGTCAGTTGGTTAAAGTGTCATCCCAATATGCCAAGGTTGTGAGATTGATCTCTAATGAGGGCACTTAATAAAAACAATAAGTGCATAAATAAGTGAAACAATACGTGAGTGTTTCTCAAAACATTTTTTCATTGCTTTCAGAGAGAGAGGTAAAGAAACATTGCTTGGTTGCCTCCCATACGCACCTGGACCAGGGGATCAAACCTGCAACCCAGGTATGTGCCCTGACTTGGAATCAAACTGCAGTCCTTTGGTCACTGGATGATGATCCAACCAAAAGAGCCACACCATCAAGGCAAATTAATAAGAAATTTTTAAAAAGAAAAAAATGGGGTTGGAGAGAATTCAATGGATTTAAGCGGTATATAGAAAGTAAAGTGAATACAACTCAAATGGATTAGACATGATGTGTGTGAGAGAGAACAGTAATCAAATGATTCCTAGTTTCTGGCTTCAGCAAATGAATGGATAGCTGTGTCTCTCCCTAAAATAATGGCAGAGGAAGAAGCAGATTGGGAAGAAAAGGGAGAAAGATTATTTCAATTTGTTGCATTTGAGGTATCTTGTGATTCATGGTAATTGAAGCTACTGAAGTAAATTCGACCTCATAGGAAAAATGTTTAGATTGAAAAAAGGGCTAAGGACAGAACTCCGAGGCACCATTAAAGGGGGTGGAGGGATGGAGCATCTGAGCATGGGAGCACAGGTCAATGAGGCAGGAGATCTGGGAGGGTGCAGAGTCATTAAAAGAAGCCAAAGGAAGAAAAAAAATTTCAGTTGTTTTAGTTGCATTTTGTAAAAAGCTGAATTCCCTTTTTTAAAATATTTTTTTCTTAAAGATTTTTTTTATTTATTTATTTATCTTTAGAGAGAGAGGAAGGGAGGGAGGAAGGAAAGAAACATCCATGTGTGGTTGTCTCTCGCACATCCCCAATTGGGGGGGTACTCAGCCTGCAACCCAGGCATGTGCCCTGACTGAGAATCAAACCAGCAACCGTTTGGTTCACAGGCCAGCACTTAATCCAGTGAGCCACACCAGCCAGGGCCAAATTCCTTTTTGTTTTTCCTCCAAATCGGGCACTAGTTTCACATCTTTAAACATCTTCATTGTTTTGTGGACCTCCAGACCTTTAGGATAAAATTGTGGAGCTTATATATATTTGCCCTCATTTTGGACATTCTGTTTGGCAGTAACATTATTTGCTGCAAAATAAAGTCTGAACTGGAGAAAGGAAATTTGTTTTGTCTTGTTTTAAAGTCAGTAGATCTTTCTATATTTCTGTTTTGGAAACCAGTACAGCAACTCCTAAGTGCTTTCTTTACTAGTTGCCATATTCTATAACTTTTCAGCCCTTTGCCTTCATGTGTTGCTTATGTTAAGGATCTTACATCTGAGTCTGTATAGGGTGGGACAAAAGTAGCTTTACAATGTGAGTACACAAAACAGTTTACTCTTGTATTATTATTTATTAATTATTTTTCCATAAGAACTGTAAATCTACTTTCGCCCCACCCTGTATCTAGTTTAATATAGAATAGAGAGGAATACAGCACCGTGATCTTAGCCATATCAGTGGTATATAGCTTTGTTATGTAGTAACATTGATTTTTCTGGGCCTAGATTCAAATCTAAAAATGATCTTCAAAACAGACAGCAGTGTGGGAACTGGCTGTGGGAGAGGGGCAGAGGGTGGTGGGTTGGGTGGAGGAGGGCAGGAGTATTGGGACAGCTGTAATAGAATAACAATAAAAAATAAAATAAAAATTTTATATCTAAAATAATAAAAAAGATCTTCAAAGTATTCTTTTGTCTAAAGCAATAATAAAATTCATGTCTAAAATAACAACCCAAATAAGTTTTACACTTATTTATCAGAGGCTCTAAGCTACAGCAGTCTAGGAAAAATTAATGGTGCAGCAAATAAAGTACTAAGATTCCACTCTGTTTTTCAGAAATTGTTTGTATTTTGATCTCTCAAATTTATACTTGCTGAGTTAATTGAGAGGTTTTTAAAATCTTTGTATAACTTTTTGCTACATTTTTCTTCTTTTATAGGGGTTTTCTTTCATGACTGTTTTCTTCAAAATGAGTGTTAGCATCGCCTTCGTAAGACCTTTTGCTAGAGTTGTGGTGCCATTTACCCTTAACAAGAAGAGAAGTGTTTTATATTCATCAATTCTTCAGAGATACATGTCTTCCAAAATACCACCTATGCCCTGTCCTGATAAGGAGAGTACATCACCTGAACAGCTGGAATTGGATGCGTGGAAAATTACAATGAAGTCTAGTGTACAAGAAGGTGTTTCAACAGTCTTAAGTACCAACGATGAAGATCCTTTAGTGGCCACCAGGGAGTTAATTGAGATGTGGAGATTGCTTGGCAGAGAAGTTCCAGAACACATCAGTGATGAAGAGCTCAAAACAATTATGGAATGTGCTTCTAAATCATCAAAAAAAAAATATTTAAAATTTTTGTATGTTAAGGAAAAAATGAAAAAAGCTAAGAAAATTAAAAAGGAAATGAAAGCAGCAGCAAAGGAAAAAGCAAAAGAAGACCAGCTACTAGAAACCACTAAGGAAAATAAACAGCAAAACTTCCTATTTCTACGACTTTGGGATAGGAATATGGACATAGCAATGGACTGGAAGGGTGCCCAGGCCATGCAGTTTGGGCAACCTTTGGTTTTTGACATGGTTTATGATAATTACATGAAACCAAAAGAGCTGCAGAATACTGTTTCCCAACTTTTAGAAAGTGAAGGACGGAACAGAAGAGATGTTGATCCTTTCCATATTCATTTCTGCAATCTTAAAACAGATGGCCCTTTTTACAGAGAATTAATTAAACGTTATGGAGAAAAATGGAACAAACTGCTTGTAACAGCAACAGAAAAGTCACATATAGATTTATTTCCAAAGGACAGTATTGTATATTTAACTGCAGATTCTCCCAATGTTATGACTACTTTCAAGCATGACAAAATTTATATAGTGGGAGCTTTTGTTGATAAGAATATACAGTCAGGCATATCCCTAGCCAAGGCAAAACGACTGAATCTGGCAACAGAATGCTTTCCGTTAGATAAATATTTACAGTGGGATACTGGTACAAAAAATCTCACCTTAGATCAGGTAATACGTATTTTGTTATGTCTGAAAAACAATGGTAGTTGGGAAGAGGCTCTGAAGTTTGTTCCAAGGAGAAAACATACTGGTTATCTGGAGATTCCTCAGTATTCTCAAGAGTTTGTCAACAGAGGGAAGAAGTCAAAGATTATTAAGTCATTTCAAAAAGGCTCTCTGAATATATACACACAGAAAAGATAACTTAAAAGAATATTCGATAGCTTAAAAAGTAAATAGATTGGAAATACAGTTGTTAGTCTCTTCCTGAATGAAATTCACTTGCTCTTTAGAAGTTGTCTTTTGAAACTAACTGAAGTATTGTACTTTCCCCAATTAAGTAAAAATCTGCAAAACTTTGGAAATGTATGTATCTTTTACAATAAAAAAAATCTTAGTAAAAAGAGTTGTCTGGGTTTGTTGAACCCAGTAAACCAGTTGTATCGTGGCATTTTAATGAATACTTTGAGTCTATACCTCCATTTTTCGTTCTAAAATGTTCTTTTAGCTATGTCAACAACTACCCTTTTATCAAAAATTGATAGAGAAAATATTTCTAAACTTCAAGTGGTCATTCACTTATTAAAGTAACATTTGGTACAGTGCTGGGTATGTCGTAGGCACTAAGGTATATTGTTTAACTGAACATTAAACAAAAGGTTAGTGATCCCATAGGAGGTCATGGGATTTGGCTGTATAATGAAAAAATGGGTTTGGAGAGATAAAACTCATTTCTTGTCCTCTTAAAGAAAAAGGTTTTATTTGGTGAGTGTTACATACAGTACTTCCTTTTCTAGGAAGTAGTTCTTTCCTCCAGCCACATGATTCAAATGGAAGTTGCTTTATTGTTACAGACCTATCTCTCCTGGCCATAGCTGATTATCCCCAAGTAGACACCTCACTCAAGTTTAGACATGGGCATCTGACTTTAAGGTAGACCCATCACAACACTTTTCCAAGGTTTTTGGACTTGAGAACTAAGATGGCCTGTGTTAATTTCTTTCTGGTGGTAGACTTAGATAAAAAGCTCTAGAATTGGTGGTGGACATGTCCTTTTTGGTGAAGGAAGCCAGGAGAGTGAAGCTTACCTGCAGAAATAAGACCAATTTCTGGATCTGTTCAAATCCATGCTTCCAATTGTCTCAGGTGTAGCTATAGATTTCCTTTAGCATTTATTGGTTGTTCAAACCTCATGTGATACCTTGTATCCCTCTAATACTCCTTTGCCTAAGCCAGTTTGAGTTAGGTTTCTGCCACTTGCTACCTAATGAGTCCTAATATACTTGAGAAAATGCTTGTTTCCTAAGAAGTGAACTTCAGGAACCATAATTACTATAGACTAACTGCACCATTAAAGTTGAAAACATGGGGGATGGGAATAAAGATATATGGATGGCCAAGCGTTTCTACCTAGTTTCTGAATTGAAAATTAGCGTAAGATGCTATCCAATACACTTCTTAAAGCGGGGCCTAAATTTTACCAAATACTTTAGTACCTATTTTGTTCCAAACAATGCAGTATACATGAATTACTTAAACAAGTTATAGGTACAATTATTAATATCTTATTTACAAATAAGGAAAATTTATTCAAAATAATTCAGCCTTTAAATATCATCTCAAATAATCTGTCTGACTTTAAAGCCCCAGCTTTTAACCTATAAATCATGCACTCTAATAAGGCAAGAATAAAATGCAATGGAAAAAACATGTCTATGCCTAACCTAAATGGTATCAGGAATGTCCTTGAGGAAGTGATGCGTTAATTTAGAATTGATGACAAGTGTGATATGAATGAATCTCAACTGTTAGACCCTATTAAAGTGGCAAGCTGTTACTACTTGAACTGCTTGAGATACACTGCAGTTAAAATAGCATAGAGATTAAAGAATAAGAAGTTAAGATTTCCTGGCAGGGTCAGCACTAGAGTGAGGCAAACAAGGCTCCTAGGGGCACCTCACTAGTCTCCCAGCCTTATTCCCAGGGTTCCAGCTCCACCCTGCAGCCTCTTGACACTGCTCAAATTGCTTAATCTCTTGAAATTTTTTATCCTCATCTACAAAAAGACTAGAATACTGTATTTGCTATGTATAATGCACTCATGTAATGCATACCCACATTTTTGTGCATGTTATATACAGTACTATTATACCCATTATTACACCCATGGTCTGTAATCATTCCTGTGTATAATGCGCATCCTCTTTTTCCCCCTCAAAAATTTGGGCAAAAAGTGCATATTACAGCAAAACATGGTAGTTTTTGATTCATGTAAAACATTATGGTATCTGGCACATAAGCTTTTTTTAAAGATTTTATTTTTAGAGAGAGGAAGGGAGGGAGAAAGAGGGTGAGAAAAACAAAGATGTGTGAGAGATACATCTATCTGTTGCCTCTTGCACACCCCCAACTGAGGACTTGGCCCACAATCTAGGCATGTGCCCTGACTGGGAATCAAACCAGCAATCTTTTGGTTCACAGGCCCCCCACTCAACCCACTGAACCACACTATCCAGTTCAATAAGTTTAAGTAAAAATTCAGACTATACATTGAAAATGGAATGGAATTTCATTGGAATGTATAGAAGTTTTAGTAGTAGTATACAAGTTACTGTGTCCCTTTTGAGTAGCACATTCCAATTTCTGTGTAACAGTGTGCAGTTATTTGAGTAATGCAACACTAGAATTAAAAATAACAAAGACCATTTTCTTTCAAACAGCCAAGTAGTAATTAGTAATTGATTTCTAAGGCTGCTTTTCTCTTACATAGATAAATCACAATGGCAACCTCATCCAGTTTGAATTCATATTGATTTTAATTTTTCAAATTTTTCAGAATTTGGAACTAACAAAACCTCAGATGCTGCTTCAGCTTTTCCAAACTAGAGGGTGTAATTTCCCAGGCACAAAGTAGAAAATAATGGCTTTTCTATCTGAAACACCCACTAATTTATAGTATTCTTTCTCTCTGAAGGCAACTTTTGTTGCCTATATTTTAATTGTCTTTGCTTCTTACCTATTACAGACATGTTTTTATGTAATGCCATTTCTCGTTCTCTTGCTCTTGTCAAACATGCTACCAACTTGTCAGCTTTTAATAATTAGAATAAAAAAAAAAGACTTTACCAACTACAATCATCCCTACAATATTACCCAGTTGAACTTTATATCTAAGCCAGATCCTTCAAGCAAGCATTTCGAGTGCTTAATAGTCACATTGTAGCTACTGGCTGCCACACCAAACAGTACAACTCTACAGCACTGCTTGATAACCCTGTGATCTGCTTTGTGTTTTAACATCAGTTCTATCATTTCTCACCAGATTCAGTGGCCATTTGCATGGTATAACTTCCTCTTTCATTTCCATATCACAGTTGTTTTATTTTCCCCACTTCAGCAGCTTATCTTCCTCGTTGGCTCATTTATTCATTTAGCAAATATTTATTGAGAACCTGCTATGTGCCCAGAAGTGTTTTAAATGTTGGTGATACAGTAATGAACAAAGCATTCCCAGTCATCATGGATATTAAATTCTGGGCAGAGAAGAGGCAGACATAAATATGTAAAATGTCAAATGGTGATGATATTAAGTTTAGCACGCTCCTCGCTCCCCCCACCCCCCACTGTATGAGGACACAAGAAATCAGCCATTTTCATGCCAGGAAAAAAGCTCTCATAAGAACTTGACCTTACTGTCACCTTAATCTTGAACTTTTTCACCTCTAGAACTGTGAGAGGTAAATGTTTGTTGTTTAAGGCAAAAAAATTAAAAGTTTAAGAGAGAAAGGGGAATACTGGCATGGGTCAGCATTACTTTTTATAAAAGGTGGTTGGGAATTGCCTTCTAAGCAGGTTGTTCACTGCACAAGAGCACCCATACTACCCTCTCCAAGCTGTGCAGTCTGGTGTAGGATCATATTTGCTAGAAGGAAGAAGCACCATTTTCTTTATTCAAAGGCACTACCTGCCTTTAAATCATATGCTTAAAAATTTGCATCCAATAAGAGAGCATCTCTTTTCTAATTTGCATACACTGGTAAAATTGATATTTGAGCAGAGATCTGAAGGAAAGAAGAGTGAGCTATGGAGATGTGGGGGTAGAGAGTTCCAAGTAAAGTGAGGAATGACTACAATGGCTCTTTGAGAAGGTTCAAGGTACAAGGATGCTAGTGACAGAAGCAGAGTAGGTAAAGAGAGCTGAAGATGAGATCAGAGTTATAGGGGTCTGTCACATAAGCCTCTTAGACCATTGTAAGGATTTTGGTTTTTATTCTGAATACGATGGGAAAATCAGATGATCTTGAACAAAGAAGTGACATGTTCCTGATGAGTTAACAGGATAACTAGCCCTGACTGATGTGGCTCAGTGGGTTAGGCATCATCCTGCTAACCAAAGGGTTGCTGGTTTGATTCTGGGTCAGAGCACATGGGACATGCCAGGGAACCAATAGATGTGTGATATCAATCTTTCTCTCCTTTTCTCCCTCCCTTCCCCTTTCTAAAAATAAACAAAATATTTTTTAAAAAAATAGGATAACTAGATTGTAAGCTCCATGAGGGTTTTTTTTTTTTTTTTTTTATTCACTGCTGTATCCCCAAAGCCTGGCACAGTGCCTGGCACATAATGAACACTTAAAATTTGTTGGATGAATCTGATTCCTTTGACTTAATTTTTTATTGTTTATTCTATTACAGTTGTCCCAATGATTCCTTTTAAAAGGATCACTTTGGCTACTTTGTTGATACTAAAAAGAGGACAGGTTAGGATGCTACTGCAATAACAAAGGTGAAAGATAATAGTGGGTTGGACCAGGGTGATAGCAGAGTAGTTAGTGACCAAATAGCAAAGATATTGGAGACAGTAAGTATAAATGAACTTTTCAAAGAGTTTCCATAGGAAGAGGGAAAGAAATGAACCAGAGGGAGATAGGAGATCAAGAGAAGAGTCTTGTTGTTTTGTAGATCGGAACTACAAAGCCACACGTGTATACTGTTGTAGGTGAAAAAATCCAATGAAACAATGGAGTGATGACTTTGCATAAGCAAGGAAGATGGGATCTACTGCATATGTAACAGAAAAGAAGACAGAAAATATAAGTACAATGCAGGTACCACCACAGATATGGTGAGAATATATAGAATTTGTCTCATTATTTTCTCAGTGAAAATAAGAAGCAAAGTATTCAGTTGAGGGGAAGGAGATATTGGATGTTTTTGGATCATGCAGGAAGTGTGAAATAGTTTAGGAAAATGAGTGAGTTAGGGCTGGTGGTTCTCAAAGTATGCTTCCTAGAGCAGCAGCATCAACATTGCTAGGACACTAGTTAGAAATGCAAATCTGAGGGCTCCCTCCCAGTGAATCTACTGAATCAAAAGCTATGGTACCAGGGTTTTAACTCTCTGTTTTAACAAGCCTTTCAGATGATTCTGATGG